GAACATGCTCCATTTTTCTGCGAGGCTAGGCACTTATCTTACTAATGAATGAAAGTGCTTGTGAGGCTGGATCGGTGTGACGCATCTCTATATATATAAAGAAGAAAGTTTGTCTATCTGTCTGTTCTTTTATGCATTCGGACCCCTTGGAGGCAGTGCAACCAAACTTTGCATGGCCTCCTCTTTCATCCAGGGGAGGGTCGGGGGCTATGTTTCCATCCAAAATTTTCACTCCCGGGTTACTTTTTCCGGGGGGCTGTATTGTCTGAGATGACATTGAGAGGAGCGACTGATTCCTGGATTCGTTGGTGCATTGGTAGCATACCTGACTGATGATCAAAAGGCCCGGGTTCGATTCCTGGGCATCCCCAGCCTTTTTTTTGTCCTCTCATGCCATCCAACTCTCCCATCCCGGCCACCTGCATTACAGTACCCCGGGGTAATCCCATTTCTGGATCACTACTGTAGGTAGTAAGTAATATTCTTTTGATCAAGTTTTCATCGAAAATATGTTTCAAAACGATAAAAGCATTTCACCAAGAAGTTTTTCCCTTAAAGATAATTTAGAAATTATTCAAAGCGTGCAAAAAAAATGTTTAAAAGGGAAAGGGGTCCGAGCGCATTTTGCGACACCCAAGATCGGCAATTTATAGGAGACCATGAGGCTAACGTTCCCCAATTTGTCATGCATGAATTATTGAATTTCCCCGGGCAACGCCGGGTGCTTCAGCTAGTCCTATATATTAAAAACACAATGAAATTGCGTTCGTGCATATGAAGCCTCTGATGCTTGGGTCTGAGTGCATGTCCGCAAGTCCATGTGCGCATGCGCGGCGCCTTCTGTCTGCCAAAGGGTGTACGTTCCCTTTTAAAATGCTTTCTCCATCAGTGTTTCTAATTACTTCAGCCGATCTACCAGGAAATATTTCTTTCAAGAGGAACGTTCAATTTTGAGCAAATAAGGCAGTGGCTGAAAGGCACTCGAATTTCGTCGCACCAATCAAACAGAATGGCATTTTCGGCTCGCATAACCAGGAGCAACGATTACTGTGTCAGAAACTTACTGTGTCAGACCTGTTTCCCGAAATAAGCACCGACGTGTTTATGTATGCCATCAATGGCTTGATGTAGGAGAAATGACGTGAAGAGACTACCTAGATATATTTTAATTAAGCTTGAACTGTAATGGCTGCTAAAGTCATTCCTATTTTCCTTACTAATAATACAAAATGTGTTTTCTGGGACGGTCTTGATGGTACATGGTCTTCCTGTAGTGTTTCCCATACGGATGTGCTTATTTATTTATTATTTTTTATTACTAACACGATTATCTGAATATGGTGAATGCCTTTAGCACGTATCGAAGTAATATAGGTTATCCGAAGAATGGACAGACACGTGAAACAGCTTCACCGCGGCCGCATTGCTCAAATATTAATTAAATGAACGCTTCAGTATGGCACCAATCCTTTAACATTGATTCAATGTTGATTCGATGTTGAAAAGATCAATATTGAGAGAACGTTGTCCGGTGAACGTAACATCAACAGATGGCTGGCGAGACATCTAGCGAGACATGCGAACAAACAAGATTTCCTGACTGCGAAATATGATGGAAACTACTTTCCCAACATGATTAGTTACCATATTCATGCAATCAGTACGCGTCTCTAGTACTTTTGGAACAGTACTTGATATTCTCTCCACAAACGACGCCTGGGAAGGAATTTGACTTCCTGAATATATTAGACCAACGTTGCAACCCAACCAAACAAGACCCAGGATAATTCTGAGCAGGGTGATGGACGCAAGAAAGTATGCGAGGTCATATTACTCCATGAGAGCACGTCGCCCTGTTTTCGATGAATGAACCCAATTCATGATCACTGCCGAAGGGTGCGTGGAGTGAGGGTAACTTATTATTAAATCACGGAAATCGCGTCGGTGTCAAGCATCCAGGGCAACAAGATGCCTCTTTCTCATCTCGGCATCAGTTTCGCATTGCCCTTGGATGGGGGGGATCTTAAAAAAGCAGATTCGGAGGATGGAGGTCGTGTCCAGATGTTTCAGTCATGAAACGGCGCATGCGCACGAATTAAACAGATTGTTGAGACCTGTCACATCAACGTTGAATCATCGTAGATTCAATATTTCTTCAATGTTGATGAAAATGAATTTTCAATGTGGAGTCAACGTTGATAAGCAAATGTTGAAGCAACGTTGCAATGTTGGTTTTGAACATTGAATCAATGTTGATAAAAATGAACTTTCAATATAGAATCAACTTTGACAGGCAACGTGGTTTAAACGTTAGCTGCGTTGACGAAATGACGTTGACTCCAAGTTGATTCAACGTAAGTGTGCTACTTGGGATATTTTATATGTCTTAAAGCGAACATGTAAAACAAATACCGAAAAATCAGGCTTCTAAGTACATATGATACTCGGATATACTTCTTTCTCAAAGCATATACGCTTCAAGTTTCCTGTTCTCCAGCCAGTGGCGTCGGTATAAGTCTCCTCGCAAACGAACCCTGGGATTCAATGCACGCGAGTCGTCCTCCAAGCGAGTGCGTGGTACTTTTCTCTGGAAATCCATGAAGGACAAGGGTGAGTCACCTCGCAAAGAAGAAAGAAAGACATCTGCTCGCATCAACATGCTTCAGATTAGATTTCGGAAAATCCACGTTACAAAGTTCACAGAGTATGGACACATCCTGGAGGAGGAGATATTTATTTTGTCTCTGAGAACAACACACATTGTAAGAAAAAAAATCGCCTCTCTCGTATTTGAGGTAAATGAACCAAAGATGATATATGTACTTGCTATGGACGCGCCTCCGGGGCTCTACGCTCTAGGAAAATTTCTATTGCATTTGAAGCATCCAGTTTCGTTTCTCATACCTACCAACATTGCTAAATTCGCTCGTTCGGGAGTATTTTTCATTGTAACTTCAATTTACTTCAGGTCGTGCGAAGTCATAGTCAGCCTGTTGCAACCCTAAAAGAGCGAAGATTCTTCGTTTCTCCCGAAATGTTACCTTGGAGGTTTCTCTTGATATTGTATCTCATATGACCAAACGGTAATCAGTATTCCTTCAGCAAAAATGAGCACTGTTACCAATTCTTCAAGCTCAAATAAAGACCTGGAAGGTGGCAGGACCCCAATCTAATTTTTTTTCCTGAACACAGTGTTCCATTTGAAAAAATGTTATGCAAGTGAAAATCTGTACATTTCCCTGTACATACCCTAAAGGCACAATATTTGGGTGAAACATTTTACTCAAAGGAATTGGGAAGGTTCCACTTTTCTAGGTGCACTTCGCGAGTATCCTCGCTTGGACAGGCATGCCAGGGACCGTGAGCCAATCGTTATTTGTGCCTGAGATCCTTGAAAACGTCGGACTAAAATGCTTGAACTCCTGTACTCTCAAAAAGGCCTAGGGTTATTGAAGACTTCTATGTCGATTCTATTCTGACTTTGTTATTTAACCCTTTAATGCATTACGTAGCAGATATGCTACATTCCAAAACCAATTGTTTAGAATGCGTAAGTTGGGAGCTCCAGAATTAAATCGGTTCATAGCAGATGTGCAACAGGCCGGTCCTTATACCTAGCAACCATGCGGTCGCTAGGTGCCATGCACTCCTGGTGGCAAGCTAAATTAAAAACATATGGTTTCGTCGTGTGACAGATTGACGTTTCTGGTGAAATTATTTTCACCTTTGCGCTAATCCAGAGTCCAGATGCATCCGTATTTTTTACATTTTCTTTTGCGTTGAGGTATGTACACATGTTAACGGGTCGGATGAGCCCTCTATCGTTCATGCAGCGTGGATTAGAGAGCTGAAAATGTTATTTGTGGCAATAACATTTTCGGGGCTATTACTCACAAATTTCAGGAAATAACATATTTTCCACTTTTCCTGGGTTCCAGGACCTAAGTAAAACGTACCAGATTTTTTCGCGAAAAACAAAAAGTCATACAACAAATGGTAAAACGTTGGGGCTCTCTAGAGACATCTAGCAGCTGACGCAGTACTCTCAGGTCAGGGGTCAATCATCCCTACCGATTTTGCATGCTTTAACCAGTTTCACGGTTTACCCTGTTACTATGCCTATTCATTGCAACATAGATCTTGGATTTGATCCACTTTGATCTGATGGCAGAGCCTCCCAGGGCCTCCACATCATGAAAGAAAAAAGTGACAGGATCTTAAGTAGAGTGCAAACGCAGAAAATCCTTGAGTACCCTCCCTTTAAAATTTTTAATTATCTTTATCATTCCATTCCATCAGAACGGAACGATGTGGAAAAAATATGCCCCAATGGGCATGAAAAGAAACATTTTTTCTGAAATCAGCATATCAATAGTCACCTTCAGGTCAAATTTTAGCTTTCAATGTCCCTCCGCTTGACTGAAGCGAAGAAATTTATTTAAAAACGTACCCACAAAAAACGTGCCCCCAGGGCATGCACCTCCATAGTCGGAGTTATTCTAGAATCACGATCGCAATAGCGACTCATGTACCAAATTTCAACTTTCTACCATATCTAGAACATGGTTAGAATTAGTGTCAGTCACTCTATCGTCCATATTAGATGACGAGAAGCTTTTAAAAATAACTTTAATACTAACCAAGTTCCAATAACGATCTTTCGGGAGAGAGCTTTTAAGAATCTTCCCTTGCTTAAAGTTGAGAATGTATTCAAGTAGATCCTTTGTATTCTGGCAAATGAATTTAATTGTGTTTAATCGAAATAGTTTACGGAATTTTTGGATGCATGCAGACTGATAATCAAATGCAGTCAAACTTGAACATCCAATTTTCCTTTGGGCACGCTCCAATTGCATTTTAAAATAAAATTTTCTCACATCATAAGTCGCAGGTAAATCCCAAAAATTGACATCGAGATCTTTCCCACACTCTTATATTCTCATCCGAGAGGATCTTGACTGATAAAAAAAAAAACTGCCATTACCGTAATAAAAACTTTAATGGTCCCTGTGGGACCTGGAAACCTGCGACAGACAGATATCACAGAGGTGAAACAGGGGGGGGGGGGGCAACATGGAAGGTTGCAGCCATCCACCGTGAAGCTATCCGTTGTACTTGTGCTCTTCTTGAGCTTGGGGAAGAGCTCGGCTCAAAACCCGCAGTTTGCCATCTTCTACTACCCGACCGATTTCGGTGAAATATCTTTTGAATTAACAGACGGTTGTCCTGACCTGAACTCATGCGTCCCCGGCTTCGAAAACATGACGATCTCCGGAATTTGTGTCACTGGCATGTGAGTCCCCCATGTCTTCTTTTCTACTAACCAGCCGATTTACGATTTCCCATTCACTTGAAGACCTCACCTTGCACGACTTGCATAGTCTGGAAGCGATTGCACCCAGCAAATTCATTCAACTTGCAACTAGATATGCTACTAGATATGCTAGATAGGAATAGCTATTAGATAATACACCTTCTTGGAGCATTTTCGTCGCCCCATCCCTAATTGCTGCGTTAGCCTTAGCATATTCTTCATGTTTATCGAAGACGGAATGATACGCACTGTGGAATAAGCCCATTTTTTACGTATGGAAATCTGAACTTGACGAAGTCCATTCGATAAGTAAGTTTCCTTCATCTGTGCACAAAAAATTTATTTATATATCAAAACAAAATACTGCACAAACGTGTCGCAAGATATTGTCATTCCTCGTAAGCGCCGCCGAGCTGAACACCCTTCCGCCAGCGGTGCACCAGTCTCTCGAACGCGCCACCGACACCTGCAATCTCCAGGCGTCGGAGAGAGGTTTTTGCGGCCGCCGTGATGTCCTCCTCGTCGTCAAAGCGGATGCCCCTTTAGTGACTCCTTCGTCTTGGGGAAGTGGCAGAAGTCACACGTGGCCAGATCCGGTGAGTAGGGTGGGTGGCCGAGCACGTCCGAGTCCCAGCAGTCAAGCAGCTCCACCACCTCTCGCTTGGCACGTGCAGGGGCGTCGTAACGATAGAAGATCACGACTCCTCCTTCCAAGATCCACGACCTCCTCCAGCAGTTCTGGGCGTTTCGTGCACATTGCAGGGCGCAGCTTCTCTCGCAGGACCAAATTGTAGTAGGCTCCAATCACCGTGGTGCCGCTTGGAACTGGCCAGCGCAGCAAGATGCCCTTCGTATCAAAGAAGACTGCGTGCATCAACTTCATGGTACCCTGCTTGCGCTTGGTCTTTTGAGGACGTGGTGAATCGTCGCTGAGCCACTCCGTCGATTGCCGTCTGGGCTCTGGGTCCCAGCTAAAGAGCCAAGTCTCGTCACCAGTGACGAATCGCCGCAGGAAGTCTTGCCCTTCGCGTCGGAAGCGCCGGAAATGATGCTTTGACAACCAGGAGGACATCACGGCGGCCACAAAGACCTCTCTCCGACGCCTATGGATTGCAGGTATCGGAAGCGCGTTCGAGAGCATGGCGCACCGCTGACAGAATTGTGTTGAGCTCAGCGGCGCAAATGTGGAATGACCATATCGTGGGACATGTTTGTGCGGTATCTCGTTTTGATATATATGTAAATGTCTTGCACACAGATGAGGGAAACATACTTTTCAAATGGACCTCGTACACATGCAAGGGGAGAACCAAATTACGTTGTGATATTTCTGACGGGGCTCATGCTCATCGCTCGAAAGTTAGCCAGCACACGCTAATAATGTTCAAACGATGTTGACTTGTTCAGCAAAGAACATGTGTCATCACAACACCTACTACGTGGACGAGCTCTAAATTACCATCTAACACGTATTTTGGGCGCTAGCGTTCATGGCATCATCTTTTTTTTAAAAATGCTTCTTGCTTTCAGCTGGATATTCTACTCCGAAAAGAACTACAACTCTGGGGGCTATGGATCGGCTGAATGGATGTTTGGGGTCGATTACTGTTTGAACTCGGATCCCGACGACTTCGAATTCTCATCCCTCAGGTGAGTCCAGGGCACGCCCTAGATGGTGATATGCGATTCATGGCCGTGTTCCCGTTGTAGGCATGCAGGGCGTCAAAGCAACTTCGATGCAAATACGATCACGCTTTACGAATTCCCTCTGTTCTCGGGGAATCAATTCCTCGACTTGGCAGACCTTCCCGAGGTTCCGATGGACGACGTCGACTCCATCATCATCACGGGTGAAAGTGACTGGACCATCTATTCGTGAGTCCCCGTTTCCGTCGATTGCTCTCGTATGTCCGGTGTGGAATCGCCGTGGAAATGCGTGTTTGCCAGGCTCCCAAACTTCATCGGGATCGAGCGATGCCTAGAGACCTGGCCTGGAATGCTCGTGGGTTTTTTCCCGAACCTCTCCGATCTCGAGATGAACTCGGTCAGGTCCTTCCGGGAAGGTTGCTTCGACGACGAGAAGATCCAGCGTCGCTCAGACCGACACGGCGAGGTCGTCACGGAAAGGGAGTGATGTGTCTTTCCACGATTCTTCCCGCAGAAATAAACGACATCGAGTTGTAGACTCGATATATATACGAGCCTAAGAGTAGAGAATTGTCTTGGCAGTGTGCCAACTCAACGACGAAGGAACAGTGGGACTCCGGCTGCAACTCTCACGTAGATGATGTCAGGCCACCAGAGTTGTACTACCTGGATAGGTGAATTTTCGGTCCAAGTTTTGGTTTCATCGATTTTGAGCCATGGTGTGGGTACAAAACGGTACCGCTGGGAGAAAGCAAAATACGTCCATTTCGTCTCGACGGTCGAAATAAATGTATTCATTCTGTATAAATTATCTGAAACCGATCAGTAAAAAAGCGAAAAAGAGCATAGAAAATTTGCCTTCAGGTATATTGAGCCGATTATTTGGAGGTGAATTTTTTTTTGGCGGGCTCATTCGAGAAATTCATTTTTACCTCAATCGGTGAATGCTTCCTGCGTAGGGTCCAAGTCAACGGAACGTAAAAATCCCATTGGGGCGCAATAATTTTAGTCCCCAGCAATATGAATGAGGTGTTTCTATTAAAACGTTGGTCTGATTATTTTGCGATCACCTTAAATACACAATCGTGCAGAAGTTAAAATCACGTGGCTTATCTAATGCATGTCCTGACAGAACCAACTATGAACCTAAATTTAATGGAAACTATAAAAAATGTAGGATTCCAGAAAACAAACGGCAATTTCATGCCTTTTTTTTCTTCAAACGATTGAATATCGAGTGTGCACTATTGAAGCGCATTATATCCTCTAAGATCTCAACAAGATTCTCATCCCTTTTTTTAAATTGTAGTTAGGACTTATCTCACATTTTTTCCCAAATGCTAGAGCCCCATTTCATCTCCTGATGGACATTTTTCAAAACTTAAACGTACACAAACTCCGCGCGTTCTCCTCACATCCCTACGCCCGACAGTCAAAAGTCTTCATCAAAATGAAAGGACGCTCTTCGACGTTCTAACGGACGGGGTGAGGAATGGCTATAGACAGAAGAGGCAGTGAGAATAATTCTTCTGGAGATTCCCCTTTAATCTCTATATGCATTCCGGTTAAAATATCTCTTTAGCAGGCTGGAATAGAAGCAGAAAGTCCCTTCAGCCGGTTTCTCTTTATTTTTTAAACTCAAATTAACGTCATGCGATAAAAAGCATAGTTCGGGACCTTTAGTATTCCTTCTTGTCATAGATTTCTCGCTTATGTATCATACAAAAAGAAAATAAAAAGACGATAATGAGCGACTGTGGGGAAAACTCCAACTCCAACCCGAACCATGGAGATATAATATACACGTTTATGTCACTGCTTCTAGTATGGAATTTAAAATAAATACACTGTAACGAATTGTAGGACCCAATAGACGCAATTTATAATGATAGGTAAAAATTCTTAAGTTTCACGTCGAATAAACTTTTTTTCGTAGGGTCACGAAGACTTCTGGAGTCCAGACATGGGTTTCTCTTTTTTTCGAGCTTAATATTTAAAGTATTTTCATGATCCGCAACAATTTCCCCATTGAGACTCCACGTTCGACGTACGGGATCGAGGAAAATATGTGAGCTTCTCGCAAGTATAGGTCAGGCTAGGGTAATGCCCTGTGTCCTCATATACGTCTCTGCGATTTCTCGATGAATGATGACTCTCAAAACTTAACGTACCCGTGCCAAAACCGTACGCACTTTTGTGGAGATTCGATTTCCGCTCCTCAAAAGTCGAGACAGGCTTCCTCTGACCACGTGTTTCATTTAAGTGGATTTTGCTCGCGTATCCTAGAAGAATTTCTTTTTTAAAGTCATTCTCCCCATGCAGTTTTCTCGAAAACTCTGCGGTTCATGAACGAAAAGTTATTATTCCTCAAAATGGGGAGTAGTTTTGAGCCACCCTACAGTTACTGTGGTATTTTCTGTTAATACCCCTCTCTCTTGAGTGATAGAGGGATATGAAGAGGATATACCTACACTCCTACACTCATCGTTGGGTGTAGAACTAAAATTCCAAGATATAATTAAGAGCCTAATTCAACTTTTTTTTCTCGAAAGTATTTAAAAATTCCTCTCTGCTCATCCGAGAATGAGGAGAGAGTCTCTCTCTCTCTCACTTCACGTGCAATAATTATAAGACCGGACCGTGAGAAATCCATCGCAATAGCTCACAGAACGTGAGTTTAATTTAAATCTTCACCCAAAGGACAGGATCCGCTTTACTCTTCCTCATTTCCTCATCCAACTCTAACGAACGTGCCCTGAATTCTAAATCTAATACTGGATCATTCGTCAAATACCGGATGAATTTTTTTTGGGGGGGGGCGGGAATTCTCTCTTTGGGTTTCCCTCGGCAGTAGGAAACTTTCGAGTCTTTCCGTTTCTTTCATCTTTCATTGCCTAGAAAAGTCATCAACTAATTGACTCATCAAGTCTTTGATTATAATGCAAAAATAAGTTCGGGAACAACTGGTGAAGCAGATACTTAAAATTTCGTGCGAGATCAATTAAAATGGAATTAATAGAGTAGGATCAAACTTGTTTCTTTAAGCCCCGAAAGAAAGTTGAAAAACGTGTTTAAGCACACACGAGCAACTGGGACAGGTGCCAAAGGAAATTCAGCAGGGCGGACTCATCAGCATAATTGCATCCGCTTCGTATTTGAATTCTGAAAGACGAGATGAGGACGAAGTGGAAGACGAAAAAGAATTTCCCATTTGCAGCAACGGAAACTGTGAAGCGTGATGCGTCTGGATGCTTTGGACAAGATGTTCTTAGTGTTTACGTCCCATCTTAGGTCTGATTGAATCATCACGCCTAGGAGGCGCACTACTTCTAATGATTGTAGGCAGCCGCCATCGATGGTCAGGTGATGGGCTGGGATGGGGTATTTTGGGAAGCAAAGTTGAATGAATATGCACTTTTTAGGATTCAGTTTCATTTTGTTTAATTTGGCCCATTCGTGCTCTTGATCTAGGGCTTCCTGGAGATTAGGGGGTTCGTTTTTTAAGTGGCCACAAATCACGGTTTTGTCGTCCACATATTTGAACGACAAGGTTAATGCCTCTTGATATATACTAGGCCAAAGTAGACAACAACGATGAATCACAATTGTAAGTAACCTCAAGGTAGACTCATCATATGTCAACATCACTTTAGTTCAGACAGAGGCCAAGTATCTCTAAAGGGTCACTAGGCTTACCTGACTCCTACACCTACTCCATGCTGAGTGAATATTGATCGCATCATAGGAAGTTCTAACTTCTTATGCTTCCCAAATTCCTTGTATTTATTGATAGTTACACTTTCTTATACGGAAACTTAATTTAATACAAATCAATCCTTTAATGCAGGGGTTCTTAAATTTTTTGCACTTACGGACCCCCCAAATCTTCACGTATTTCCCATGGACCTCCACCCATGTCATCAGAAACTTTGGAACACCTGGATTTGTGATTATAAACGATGTTTTTCGGGAGCTACCTTTCGGGAGCTACCTTACATATTTAATTTTCCATGGACACTCCACGGAACCCCTGCTTTAATGCTTGAGCACTTTTGAATCACAGTATTGTTTTGCCTATCTAGGGGAATTTTCAAGGTATAGGCAATGACCTGAAGGGGATGCAGGGGGAGGGGAGGCGCACAAGATAATATACTTGCGGATTCCTTCCTCTGCATAAGTCGACTGGCCGAATATCGATCTAATGATTAAGTTCAAGCCTAGAATTATTATTAGGCCAGTAAAAAGTATTGTTTCTCTTCTGTTTCCACTTTACCCATAATAAAAAATCTAAATGTCTTCATATTGAGGCTTCCTCTTCAGAGCACCTATTTAGCCACTACTTAAAGAGTAAGAGAAGAGAAGTGAAAGGTATTAACAGGTCATAGGCCTACGATGACACGTCTGCCATGATAAAAATGGTAAAAATCCTTGCCCTAGGGAAATCTAGTCGTTGGAATCTGTGGCACTTCATGAAGAGTTGGAGTTGAAACTAAAGGGAGGATATGCTAAGCTATATCTTAGGGAAAGTTATGAGGTTCTCGGGATGAAATGCAACAAACAGCGACGGAAGTAACCAGGCCCCCTTGCGACCTTGCTCTGTCTCTAAAAGAGGATTTCACGGCACATGTCGCGCATCCCGCCATCTAGCAGTGTCGAGTCTCCTTGTCGCTAGTCATGGGCTTCATATAGTGCTTTCGCAATACGGTCGTCTCCACAAGAATATTCCCAAAAATTGTAATCTGCTATGAATTTTCTCTCTATCCACGTACTATTTTTTATTTATTTTTATTTATTTATTATTATTAATTACTTAGTTGTTCTTTTGTATTTAGCCTGTATACCCTCTTGGACACCATGTACAGATTTACGGACATTCGGATTCAAATAATACATAAATAATAACAACTAAGTAATTAATAATAAATAAATAAATAATAAGAAAAAAATAGTATTTGATAGAGAGGAAAATTCATTTATTATTTGTTATTTAATAACATATTCAACCAGTATCCTTCCTTCATAGAAAATACATGCTGAATGTCTAGAGGAAGTAAATTAATACCTACTTCCATTAAGGTTTAAGGAGTTAATAGCTTTTCATCAGACCTATTCAGTTTCTCTGGTATTAAGGTACTAAGGGAAGATGAAAATCGACCCCCTAGAATCAAATTCTGGCTTATAATTATTGTAGAGGACCCCAGGGGAGGGCCTTGGA